CTCGGGAGTCAGAGAGCGAGAGCAATCAGACGTCCTCGGAAAGCGAACTTCGGAGTGTTGCAACGGAGGAGGCACCATTTTACTGCCGTCATCCCCTCACTGGTTGGGCCGTGAGGTTTGGACGGGCTGACTGCTTCTTTTGCGGAAGGGTGAAGGGGTGGATGAGCTGTACTCGAAAATGCCCTGAGTGTGGTGGCAGAGCGTGTCGCAAGTGCAAGAAGCACTACGTGGCAAGCGTTTTGAAGCGGAGATATAGAAGATACCATGGAGGGGGATATTAGTAGCCGCATAGTATACGCAGGAACGAGACGTTGCATTTTCAGATATAAGATGAAGTTGATGTGTGGATGACGGGACTGCCACTGCAGGTGACAATGCCAAGAGCCGTTTGTGCCAGCTAAAGTCCCATGCATTGTGCATGGATAGCGCTGACAGTGACCTTGAACCCCAGGCTCGTTTGCGGCTAACAGTGGGCCAGTTGCCTGCCGACCCGAGGATTTTCCCTGAAACTCACTGAAGATGAAGCCAAGATTGGTTCTCTGGGGAACACCAACAACCGGACATTTGAACTTGGACCCTGGCGAATGAGAAGATTCCCACCACCTCCCTCCTGACGTCGGAGCTTCACATGGAAAATTCTGGCTCTCAGCTCTGCCAGCATCGCCCAACGAACCAGACACCAACACGGCGTAGAAAATGTATCGCCATATCGAATATCTTTGAGTTGGAACCCCGAGAGATTCGCCCCAGGGCGAAGTGGAGGGAGCTCCGAAATGACTGACCACAACACCAACACCGCCCACGATGTCAGCCCACCTTCCCAACTGCGTCCACAACGGGCGGCACGACACTCCAGTGCGCTTGAACGAGAGCCTTCGGGCAGTTTCCAGAGCAGCTTCATAAACGTGTTACCTCTCGACTCCAACCCGGTATCGCTCCACGAAGAGCTCGACCCTCTATCGAATTCATCGATGCGCCTTGACAACCGAACCCCGATCGAGAAGCGGCGGTCACTTAATGCGTACCGTGGCCATAAACACCGACCAAGCGGCGCTTTTCTTCTTAACGATCCCCTATTCAACCCTCACTCTCGCGAGCGCGACGCGCATATCAACCCGCGAGCTGATAGGCAATACCGAAAGTCGACCGACCAATACAAACCTCGAAATGCTCAGTATGGCCAGGCCAGACCCTACCCGAGGACTTTCTCGGGTAGCTCAGGGCCTCCCATGCTTACGGAAGAGTATGAGCCGACAGCGAGTGGCCACTCTGACCCAATGTCGGCATCCTCTACCCTCACCAGGCGCGAGCGCGACTCCCTTGCCGGGGACACAGCTGTTGGATCGTCGCCTCGAACGAGCGTCACGCAGATGGATTTGGAATCGGCACAAATTGTTAACATGGCTCTGAACCTGAGCGAATCCAGGCGACTTGCGTCTAGGAGAAGCATTACGCAGCCAGCACCGCCTAGATTGGCACCATTGCCTGACAGCACCACTGGGGGCAGTTTAAGACATCACCTTCAGCAACAAAGAAGAATCTCACGTACTATCTCTCCAAAGCCTGATCGTTCACCGAGGATAGCCCCAGGAAGGGTGCTCAGCCCCCTGCAGCCGGCATTCGAGCCTGAGGGGATCTATCGCTATCATTTTTCGCAATCTACTCTGGCACGCGCACAAAAGGCGAAGGAATATTTGGAACTCATGGCCCAATACAGGAGAGTTTTGGAACTCCTACCACCGTTAGAGGTTCCTCGTATGACCAAATCGTTGATTGTCAGCCCCCCTGGCACATCAACTGATTCTGTTCAAATGTCTAGAACTTCCACCAATGAGTCTGAAACTAGGATTGGACGCCCCTACAACCCTCTTCAGTACATACGCAATCGCAAAGTTCGAGCTCGTGAGAGGAAAGCTATTGATGGTGAAGGCCAGGGATTCAACGACGTTCCAAGAGTCTCCGAATGGATTGACGAGGTTGCGAAGTGGGTGGCCACCGGTCAAGCTCGAATATCAGGCAATCCGGCTTTGCCCCCCTTTCCAGGCGCACAAGCTGCATCATTCCAAAGCTCCCCGCCATCCAATGTTTCGCGGTCAACAACATCTACTGCCAAGCCAAAGAGACCACGAGTCGACTGGGTCATTGACCCTGCAGACATGATTGCAGATGTCTACTGGTTGGAGCTTGATGATAATAAAAAGTTGGTAGAAGATCGCCACTGGAAGCGAGTGTTCCCCCAGGGACCTGATACCTCCCGGTCATTACCATCTCGCGACGAGCCACCACGATTGACAACACCGGGCTCAACTAAGGACTCTTCGGATTCTGGTGAGAAACAACAACCAGATGCTCCGCCACCTAAACATGAGCATGAGCACGTCCTTAGTACAGCTAGGGACCGCGCACAGCAGAAGCTGCGAGCGCTGAAAGGGTCCCATCACCGCCAGAATAGCTCTGTTAATAACAGAGACTTTTTGCGTATTCGCAGATCCTCGATATCTGAATCCTCGGACACAGACAGCGACAGGCGGCGGCGGGCTAGAGCCGGCACTGCTACGACTACTGTGAGAACTGTTTTGGAGAAGCAGATGGAGGAGATGATTGCCAGGGAACAGAGGGAGTCGGAGTCTTCACCAGCCCCTTATGACCACGAGGCACTACGTATGAAGTTTGCTAGCCTCAACCCGGTGACCCCCGAGCGAGATCTTTTGAACAACGCTGCAGCAGACGCGACCCAGACTAAGCATTTGTATCGTGGAACGGACTCACACACTGAGCTGAGCGAGACTGAAAGCAGGTTGACAGGCGTACAACATCGTCCTTCTCCCCCCGTCCCGGGCCGTGCTAGTCTCGAAGTCCCTTCGAGAGGTAGAAGATTCTCGGTAGACTACGACACGTCACAGCCCAACTCTCCAGATCTGCGGCCCAATCGAGATGTTGGTTTGGTGCCAGCGATTGGGATGGATCTATCGCCACTGTCCAGCCGACCTAGCTCTCCATCGCGAAACCCGTTGAGCAAGGTTAAGAGCATTCTCCGCGAGCGTAGTAAGGAGCGCATTGTGGACAATTATGTTAGCGCAGAGGAGGTCGAGACACCAGCACCGCTAAGCGAGAAACTCTTTACCTCGCCCGAGCCGGACTGGAGTGCCGTATCATCTCCGGAAAGAAGACCATCAAGGAGTCCGCTCGGAAGGATAGGAACTAAAGGCACAGGCTCGAGCCACCGGTCACATAAGAGTGTCGGTAGTGTCAAGCTTCGACCTGAAGATGCTGGCGGTGGTCTGAGGTCACTGTTTCGTGGCCCTCGCATCGATACTGTCCTGCGAAGTGGCGTGTCCAAGATTAGTGATATGGTATGGAGGAAGGAGGCTGGTGATGATCAGTACTCTACCACCTCGTCGTCGGATTCTGAGGGTGAGGCCAGGGGTAGGTCCCGTGGTCCTCGGGTTTTCCGACGGGGTCATGGCCGGACTGCATCAATGCAAAATGGAAAGCACCAGGCGGAGCCGCTACCACAATTTGTGTCGATATCAAACACCTCCAAGTCACCGCACAATGAGGGGAAAACTGGGTTGCTACCACACCCACCTGTGCAGCCACTCAGCCGGCGTTCATCGCGCTTCGAGCTCCTGAAACCGCCAAGAATCGATATCCAGGATGCATCACCAAGTGCATCGCCGCCTCCACTGCTAGAGAGGCGCAGGGAACAGGTCGAATCGGACGCCGAGTCTCGGAAGAGCGCCGACTGGGGGATCGGCCGTACCGACATGGCACCACTGCCCTTCCACAAACCCCGGCAATTCTCTACCGTATCTTCCAGCCGTCACTGGTCCATCGCCGACTGTGGCGGCAACAACCCAACGAGGTCAGCCATCTCCAAGCGGGAAATCGCCCGCCTGCGGGCTCTGATCCTCAGCTCGGGAATCCACGCCATGGAGATGGACCGCCGCGCCAAAGAGCGCAAGCTTCTGACTTCTCCTCACTCCTCCCGAAACCCTCGCCATTCCCCGGATGGTCAACCAGACTTTGCCTGGAGGGACGTTGTATCTCTCTGCCCCGACCCAGAAACTAGACAACGGCTTGTCACCCGCCCCGTCGCTCAAGTAGACCTCTATCCCCTCGCTGCACGGACACTGTCGTCTGCGATGGAGGCAACAGCTGCGCAGTTCCAATCCGCACATGACAAGTTTGCACGAGAAACCGCGCCCAACTTGGAAAAGAGAGTCGAGGCGACGAGGTGGAAGATTGCCGGAGAATTGACTGATCTCGCGCACAGGGCTGCCGATGAGGCGGACGAGGCGAATCATGATTTGGTTGCTGGGCAGAGGCTGAAGGTCAAGAGGGTGGTGGATCACATCGAGAAGATGCTGCGGCGCCGTAGGAGGCGGTTTAGATGGCTTCGGAGGGCGGGCTGGCTGGGTGTGGAGTGGGTGCTTGTTGGGTTTATGTGGTGGGTTTGGTTTGTGGTGATGATTTCGAGGGTGGTGATTGGGCTGGGGAGGGGAGGGGTGAGGTTGGTGAAGTGGCTGTTGTGGTTGGAGTGATTGTTTCCTGCTGTGAGTTGAAGGGGAGGTTTAATATGGTAATGGGTAATAAGGGTAATTCATGGTGTTGGGGAGTCAGCAGGACAGAGACAAATATGTTTTATTATTTTCTGGATAGGGAATTGTTTTCTAGTCTTCTGTTGTTATAGTTTTTTTGGTCGTCTTGCGAAGGGGGGGTCGATACCCAGAGGCGATTGATTGGATGAGAGGGAGCAAGCGGTCAGGAATAGCAACTGTGGCTTGAGTAGTCGAATTGAAGGATTGAGACCGGGATCAAGAAGAAAGAAATAACAGATTTGTGCATACTGTCAACCATTGTTATCTGTAAAGAGAAATGTTGTTGACGCTGCCTGAATGTTGTTGACTTTTGAAGTCAGGTGGCGTGGTTGGTGGCGCAGCTTGTGGGACCTCATTCATAATGTCTCTCCACCAACATAATCCCAACAACAAATCACAGGCCGTGTGGTGTAGTGGTAGCATACTTGCTTTGGGAATTCGTTCCAAGTGTTTCAACTTGCAAGTGGTCCCAGGTTCAAGCCCTGGCTCGGCCCAATTCTTTTGCATTTTTTTTGGATCTGTTTTTTGCATGATAGCTGAGCTCGATGCCCTTTGGACTTTTTCCATAGTGAAGGCTACGTACCATAAAAACTCACCAAGAGAATTTCACCGCCATTCATCCCTCTGTCAAATTGGCAGAGAGAGTCCCCCTATGTCTTCATGCAAATGCAACCAAAAATAAACCTTTGATTAACTCCTTGCTCGTTTCTCTTCAGCAGCAGGCAGGCTATTACACGAATCGAAGTGGTTGTGCAAAGTGAAGAAAACAGAAGACAAGTCTAACCAGTACTAAAACAATTCCTTCAAAAGCCGGGCGATCCGTCAACAAAAAGTTTCCAAAAGAAAAACAAAAAAACCAGCTCCGGGGGTGGCAGCGCAAGAATGAAGCCAAAAAAACAAATGGTGCCCCCCCCCCTCGATGACATGATGGGGTGACGGTTGCGTGCTCTACTCAATCCTCTTCTTGCCCTCCTCGGCGTTGATGTACCTCGCGACGGACAAGCCTCTCTCATGCCGGGCCACCAGCGGCCCGAGGATCTTGTCCTTGCGCACCCGGCTGATCGTCTCGTGATAGCCTTCCGTGGCCCAGGGTCTGGGGTTGAGTTTGGGCCAGTTGACCTGTGGTGGTGTGTTAGGATTTCGTTTCTTTTTTTTTCTTTTTTTCAGGAGGGATAAAAACTTACGTAGAGCATCCCGTTGTTGAAGATGAACCATAACGCCCAACCCGTCACCCCCGTCCAAAACAAAATGAACAACCTCATCGGCCACACGGCCGCGTCGGGCAGTCTAGGCGAGTACATCCCCATCAAGACAAAAAACAGCCCGAACGCCGCAATGTACGGCACCGCCTGGATCAGCACCGGCCTCCTGTCCACAAACACTAGACCCCCGCCGGCGCTGGGCTGGTACACCCCCAAGAACAAATCAAACGCATCCTGCCTTGGCCCGTCCAAAAAGTTATTCTTGCAGTACCGCGTAACCGCCACATTTCCATCCTGCAGCGCACCGGCCTTGGTCCTCTTGCCTGTCCTGGTGAGATCAGTCTTCATCGCCCCCGTACCGGAATAGGCGTTGGACACCACATCCGCATTATCGGCCCACATGTTCCGGAACATCAGCTCAAACGCCGCGTCCTCATCCGCGAACCTGCTTCCCCTCGCCAGCAATCCAAGGTCGATAAACATCCTGTCCAGCGTCCACCGAGCAAGCATCGACTGCACGACGTTTGTCCGGTCAAGGCAGTCCATGCAGTTCGTCCTGACCACGCTCGTCTGTAAAGAGCGAACGTCCAACCTCCCGCCGTCGGTCTTGTTGTTGTTACCCGGCGTAGAGTCAACACTGGCCCGGAAGTACTGCTGAGCCACGAGCGCCTCGCGCATCCGGTCGATAAGCAGCTGGGCGCGGTGCATCTGCAGCCCCTTGGTCTCGGCGTGAAAGTCAAAGTAGATGTAGTGCAGCCTGTCAAACTGGGACTTCTTCTCGGCTGTCTCGATGGTGTGGAACTTCTCGTCTGTTCGCTGATCGCCCTGGACGTGCTCCTGGGGGCGGGAGACGAGCATCTCGACTACTTGCTCATAGGCCTGCTTGACGGGGACTTCGCGCCCCTTTTGGTTGACGAGGTTGACGAGGTAGTTGTCGCCGTAGATGCGGATCTGTTCGTCAAAGTGGGCTTTGGCGGCCGGGTAGGCGGCTTCGATGGCGCGGATCTGGATCTTGGGTGTGTATTTCAGGGTGTTGATTTCGGCCCAGTAGGCAGGGACGCTGCCGCGGGTTTGAACGTAGGAGAGAATTTGCATCTCCTTGCCTACCCCGTCAGCGAGAGAGGACGACTTTTGTTGCTGTTGCCATGACGAGCCGCCGAGACCGGTGGTGTGGTCGTTGAGGATGACAACCTGCTCGGTCTCGTTGTAGTTGGCGGCATGGCCTTGGTCGTCGAGTCCGCGGGTGAAGTAGCGGGTTCCAGCGCGGTGGCGGGAGCGACGGGAGATGAGAGCGATCGTTAAGGGGGTGCCCTTGAAGGTTGTGGGGTGGATCTCGAGCATGCCAAAGATGACCGGGAGGATGTAAGGGTCGATGTTTGGCTGAGGAGCTGGTTGACCGCGGCCGCCATTGGTGCGGAAGTTGATCAGATCGGACTGGACGAAGCGGTTCCAGAAGAAGCGATCGTCAGCGCGCTGCCAGAGCGGGCTTTCGGCATCCTGTTGCGCCTGGCGTTGGAAGCTGTTTGTAATATCGACCGAGTACGAGAAGTACATGGGACCGGGCTTGATGAAGCCGCGGAGAAGGTTGAGGAACCGGTCCTCATCGGGATCGCTGACTTGTCTCTCGCGGAGGGGCAGAATGTCTGTCGAGACGACCTTGTAGACCATGTGCCCTCGTAGGCGGCCGACAGGTTGGGCTTTCGTGATGACAATGATGTACTTGTCTTAACAGCCATAGTTAGCAACCAGCTCTCATTCCCCAATACGCTTCACCACCATGATGGCACAAAGCTCACCTAACCGCAGCTGAATCACGCCGAGGATGCCAGCAATGCTGGTAATGCGCGAGACGCGCTTCCCCGAAAGTAAGGAAGCATCAAGAAGTCGAATATCGCCGGTTGGGCGGTCGATAGCGAGAGCGGGCGCATTGGGGCTCGAGGGCGAAGTGAAGATGTAGGCATCAGACGCCGTCTGAACGTTGATATCGCGGAAAGGGAGCGTCATGTTGGACAACAGGTGGTTGCGCCGCCGAAAACGACGAAATGGAAGCTACTATTTTGAATTCTTGGTCGTCATGCAGATGCAGATAGCGATCGAGGTGTCTAAACGAAGGTAACGGGTGCTGCAGATGGTCAATTTTGGAGTTGCTGTTGAAACATGTCATCTAATTATGGAAATCTCAAGCCTCATCCAAAAGTGATGACATCCCAGCCAGCGGCGACCAACAAGTCTCCCAAGCTCTCCCTAATTTTGGGTGCCACGAGTCGCATTCGCACTGTGGCGTTCTCGTTCACGGCGAGGCGGCCCACTCACTCACCCACTCCACTGGCATCTGCCGCGACCGGCTGGCAAGGATGGCGACGTAATCGGGGACTGCCAGGTTGCCGCTGCTATCACGTGGAAATCTGCACAGACCTCGGGGTGGCATCTGCGCCTATCGGGCGACCTGACGTGTGCATGCGCCGCCGCTGAGCGCTGAAAGCACTGACATTGGCCAGGACCCAGGCTGGTGCTCTCATTGCTTCTCAACGACCTCTGCCAACCAGCCCCAGCTCTTGACTGGTTTCCCCGATCTTGGTCCCGTGGTATCACTCGAGGCAACCGCATTTCAGCATCCAACTCTGGTCAACTCGTCGAGCACCTTTGTCTCGACACTCTACCCAGCCACTTATCGAGAACCCCGCGAACGCCGACCCGCGAAACTTGAGTCCCCGCCGCGCATTGTTATTTCGCCAGCGCCCGCCGTAACCCTCCTTGGCATCGAACGCCGCCTTGTCAGCAGGTCCCGTCAACAGTCAACGACAGTTTGGTCTTTGACTTTTGCATCACCCAAACAACAGCCAACAAACTCCATATCACTCAAATCCACCATGGCTTCCCGAGGACCCCCCGGCGCTCGCGGCATGAGCAACCGCTTCGCGCAGTTCAAGTTGGTCTTGCTAGGCGAATCTGCTGTGGGAAAGAGCTCGATAGTATTGCGCTTCGTCAAGGTGAGCCGGGCTGTCGGATTCTGAGGTTCCGGCCATAACTGACTGAAATATGATAGGATCAATTTGATTCCTACAGAGAATCAACTATCGGTGCCGCCTTCTTAACACAGACCATTTCACTCGACGAAAACACGACGGTCAAGTTTGAGATTTGGGATACCGCTGGCCAGGAACGCTACAAGTCCCTCGCACCCATGTACTACAGAAATGCAAACTGCGCCGTTGTTGTCTACGATATCACGCAAGCCGTACGCTCAAGGCCCTTTTCCCACTGGAGGTATCATTAATTAACTAACCGAGTTATCATAGGCGTCACTTGACAAGGCCAAGTCTTGGGTCAAAGAACTCCAACGACAGGCCAACGAGAACATCATCATCGCCCTTGCCGGAAACAAGCTGGACTTGGTGACAGAGCAGCCAGACAAGCGCGCCATCCCCACCGCCGAAGCCGAAGCCTACGCAAAGGAAGCCGGGCTCCTTTTCTTTGAGACATCCGCGAAGACGGCCGAGAACGTTCAAGAACTGTTTACTGCTATCGCCAAGAAACTCCCACTTGACCAGGTTGGGCCGAGACATGCCCGGCCTGGTCAGCGGCCCGGAGTCAGTCTTGCTCCCGAAGGGGCGAACACGCAAGCCGGTGGGCCCTGCGCGTGCTGATGAGAGCCATGACATTGCATGGATACGGACGGTTCTTGAAAACCACATGGTTAGAAACACATCTTCAAGGCCTCAGGCGTATGGACGGCGGTTGGTACCGAAGGACGAATATAGAGCAGTTTGGGGCTAATCTGGGCTTTTGTTGAACGGGGACAGGGACATCGACATTCCCACACACACACACACACACATCTTGATCGGAGTATTGTTGGGAGGAGGGTATCAATGTTGCTGTTTTTTTTAATACCTCATTTTTCTTATGGGATTTGTTTTTTATGGGTGTGTTTTCTCGGCACCATGGTCGAGGGGAAAGCGTAGGTAGGCTACCTGGCGTGGGGGAGCCGGACTGGCGCATTTCGCTGTACAGTATGGTATGCAGACAGATAGAAGCAGCAGCTTGCAACGGCCGCGGTAATTCAGTGACGGATGCGGTGCTGGCAGGGACTAGAGGGGAGAAGGGGATACACGAACGTCAGTATAATGCAAAGCGTATCTTTCACTTTTTCCTCATATTCACAACGAGGCATTCTTCCCATATTGTAGCAGCGAGTGTACGTACTCCATCCAAAGTGAAGGCCGTCTTGAGATGTCGGATGTCATTTCGTAGCGGGACCTGATTGGCAGGGCGCCAAGACCCTGTCGCCA